AAATCTCATGTGGGTGAAAGGGAGGAAACAGACACCTACCTGGAAATCTAAGACTGTAAGTGAGATGTCACAGAAAAAAGCAGCGGCATCCACTCACATGCTTGTCCCTTAAGGAGGAAAAAAAAAAAAGGTGGGAGGGGGAAGTAAAGCCAGCAACAGTTTTGTGGAAGTTTTTTTTTATGGTATCGTTAATCATCACTCTAAGACCGTTGAAATTATAACACAAAACTGTTAGGACTGTATTGTGTGTTGTCTGTATGTATAGTATTCATTTATCTGGATTACTTCTGTGTTGTTAGTTGGGTTGGATGCAAGCTGGTGTCATGCTTGTGGTGTGTATGTGCCACAGCTGGAAAGAGGAGAGGCTGGCTGTAGCTCCTGTGAGTGGGGGAGAGAAGGGCTTTGTGCTTCTTGCTGAATTGATTCATTCAGAGTCACAACAAATACAGGTGTCCACTGCTAGTCTGAACACCAAGAGGAGGGTAGAATTTAAAATTGCAGTGTACAACAAGCTGCCTATGGATATATCCTTTTATTTCTAGCTCTTTTTTTCTTGCTAACCCTTAGGAGATTTTGCATTTTTATGGGATTAATATTTGTGGAGCAAATAAGCACAGGTTCCCCAAGTACAAACATCTTTCAGGGCACGTTACAAGCAATGTTCCTTCACTGCAGCTCATAGACTTTGAAGCTTCTGTTGTGGGCTATATTTTGCTCCAAGTAGGTAAGGCATTAGGGCTACAGCACAACTTGGAATTTTGGCTACTCACAATTTAATGTAATATCAAAGAGCATGGTATACAAAGGAATAAAACACCCGAAGAGTATAGACTGGTATTGATGAAAAAAAAAAAATAGGGATGAATAGAAATGCTTAATAAGACTGAAGCTTTTATTTTTGGTTTGTGTTTGGTTTGGATTGTTTTGGGTTTGGTTTTTTTTAACTATCAAAGCCTGTTTTCAATGTGTTTACCGGGCCTGTTTTGGTTCTCTTAAGATAAACTTCAGATTTTGCAGAGATCGCGGCACAGAACTTTGAGCTCTGCTGTTGAGAGAAGAATAGAAGCACAGTGTGACCTGCATTTCCTTCTAGTCAGATGGGCTTTGGGGTCTCGTGAGATACCAAGAGAATCCTAATTGTGAGCCAAACAAACTAGCTGGCCCCTGTGTGGTGGATTTGCTTTTAGCTGAGGACATGTTTAAGATTAAGACTCATGAAACACTGAAGCGCCCATCAAGATTTGATGCAGGTACTTCAACAGTGACCGAATCCCGCCAACTGACTATGCAGGTTCAGGAGGCTCCTGTTTGGGAAGCGGGATGGGTTTTACTAGCACCACTATACCTCAAACTAAACTTTAGGATTATTTATTTATTACTGAGAAATGTGTTTGACACAGTACAGACAACAAATTCCGTAAAAGGAGGGGCTTCTGCTCTAGATGCATTATTTGGCTGAATGTTGCAAAAGATTGGATAGGAGATACATCAGTATTGGAGGAGAGGAGGGCAAGAATGGAAAGGAGTTGATCATCAATAGGTCTAATCAGTGTCCTGAGAAATTTGGAGAGAGAACAAAAAGAGGAATTCACTTGAAAATGTGTGTTTAAGTAAGCTAGAGAATTATGTAGGCCTCACTTTTAATTAATTTTTAACTATTTTTTCTCTGCATTATTATTAATATTGATGATAAAATGAAATTGAAATTATTGGAGCTGTTTCATCTCATTTTGTTCACTTTACTGGTGAAAAACTTATATTTTAAGGTAGACAGAAAAAATTACATGGGGGCAGTCTTTGGAAGCTGAGGTATTTCATCAGTGGAAGGAGGGGCAGATTTTCTGTAAAAAATTCCAGAGGTCTTAATTAAGAGTTACCTTTTGGTGATATGAATATCTTGTTAGTTCTGCTTTGTTATTTGTATAAGCAGCTTAGATGTGATTTTTGTTCTGATAAGTTGCAGTGTGGGAGAGCAGAGAGGAAAGACAACAGTGAAATCAGCATTGGAAAGCTGGTTGAGAGAATTGCCTGGAGGAGGGATTTGGGAAACTGCAGAAAGAAAAGGATTTCAAAAGTCAGCAAAGATAGAGCTGTTTGAAGTTGAGTAGAAGCTGTTTGAAGCTGAGTAGATGTTACCAGCTTCTGTGCTTGGCATCAGGCACCAGCACATAGCTCAAGATTTGAAATTAAAAATCATAGAGCTTCACTGCAGCAGTTTTCCAGGATTTGCCTATGAGGTGGGATGTGAGAATAAAAGAGTGCCTGTGTCAGGAGAGGAGCAGCTTTTGGTATCCAGACCCTGTATTACCTGGGAGGATCCATAAGAACCATTTTGACATTGTGATAAATTCAGGAATTCACAAGGAATAAAATACACTTAATCCTCTGATGAAGAAAGAAAAACTGGAATTGTGGGAGATATAGTTGATTTCTTGGATTAAATGTATTGTTCAAAGCCCATTCCTCCCTCCCCAGTACACTGGCACCCTAACTCCCATGTCTACTCAGTATTCAGTCTTGCCAGGTTCCTTTTGATCATATCCTTTTCTAGCAAGGTGCTTGGTACACAATTTCAACTCCAGGTGTTTTGTGATAGTTGATTGTCAAGCCAGTCTCTTGGGTCACTTTGTTCTCATAATCTTTCTAATGTATTCCGTGCATTGAAAAATTTCCTTTGTAAGAGCCTTAAAAAAATGATAATCTTGTGCATAACTTGACATGACATTAAACATCAGAACATCGTCCACCATACAAGTCCATCACGAAGCCCAGGGCAAGTCCATGAGTTCAGTGATTTTCATAAGGGACAATAAGCAGTAGGAAAGCAACGGTGTTTGTAAGGTGTAACTTTTGTCTCTTCCTTGTCTTCTGTGTCTTTTTAAAAATGGGATTGAAAACAGCAGCATCAGTAGGGAGGCTAGTCAGCTAAACTAAATATTTATTAGTTCTTGATGTGATAAAGCTACAATTTCTCTGTTGGTGCAGTATTTTAATTGTGCTTGTAGCATTTCAAACTGAACAGGTCTTGATCAGCTGATTTAAATGCTTTGGGATTATGATTTTGTCATGTGTGTTGTGTGTTCCATCCTCACCCCCAGACACTTTTCCCCTATTTTTGAATATATGCTTCTACTTTTTTCTGATGTCAAGAAAATGAGAGTTTTCAGACTGGAAGCATCTTACTGCATCTCAGTATTTGATCTGCAATTGCCCAAAGGTTAAGCACTACAGAGGATGAGTGGTTAAACTGCTCACAAGTGCCGTGCAACTAATTGCTCCTTCATCTCTGCTCTCTGTGTGTTTTGCAATATCATTTTATCCACAATTAGTGTTTATTTACAAGACATGCAAACGAATGGTGGTACTGTGCATACAGATAGACTGCAATGTGTAGCGTTTAGCACTGGAAGGAAACTTCCCATTTCTGAAAGCAGTTAACCACTGTGGGCGTACATTTTCTTTTTAATAAAGACTTTTTTCTTTTCAGAGGCAGGAGTACTCATTTGCATGTCAAAGCATCATACTGCTCCTTGAAAGGGAAAAAAATGTATTACCTCTAAGCAAGGCTGATAGACTTGAGATATCAGCAAAGCAGGCAAGCTGGGATTCCCTGCAAGCCTTCTTTTGGGTTTTTGTTTTCTTTTCATTTCAATAAACTTTAGCAAGTATTTTCCCCTTCTGTAAAGTTTTACTGTAATGAAAACCTTAGAGATCAAGAAGTCAGGAATGTCTTGAACTTGCCACCAGGATCATGATGTGCCTTCAAGCTGTTTTAGTTTCTGGGGAGGCAGCAGTTATTTCTAAAGACATGGTGTGCCTCATGTGAAACTCGGTGCTTATCCGGTAGTGGAAATACTATCTCTGAGTATCAGTCAACTTGTTGACCCCAGCCTCGCAGTGGAGTGGGTGGACAGTGTTTGTGGAAGAAGACATGCTTCCATCAAATCACATTTTCTTGGCTTGGTTGGAACAAGACATCATCCTGTCTTGCATGGGTCTTCCCTGTGTGAACCCAGTACTGTCAACTGATGCAAAATTGGTCAGTTTGTGATGAGATTCTCATGTAGAAAGTGGAAAATACGTTTGGGCTTGACTGTTCTGGAATTGATGATAGTAACCACAGTATTCTGGAAGACACAGGCTTCTGATTAAGGTTTTAAAAACTTGTTGGTGGAATAGCTGTTTATTTCAGCCTTATCACTGATCAAAGGAAGGAAGCTGTGGTACAAGTCTCTGGATACCTTTGGCTGTTAAAAGCTTGTACTGAGCTCTTAGTGCTGGGTTTTGCATGCCTGCAGCTCTTAGTGCAAATCTTCTGTTTTCTACAGGGCAGGTGGGACACATGGTTTGAGGTAGGCTTCTAGGGGCAGGGGGTTATGTTGTGCAGTGCTAGAGGGATGTATTTAGTATGCGTCACTGTGGTACAAGCAGGCTTGACTTACCTGTCGGAGACAATGTCTTTCCCTTGTATTTCTGTCACAGCATTTCTAATATATGCCGTTTGAACAGACTGCCTTTAGCAGTAACAGCTTTGTAGATTTATAGCAGGTATTTTGTTTGTGCAAAGACTTGGAACTTGACAGAATGCACACTCTTAGCCAGAAGATTCATTATTTACAGCAGAGATGCTGACAGGTAGAAAAGAAAATGGAGGTCTCATGTTTCAGCTGGGAGGCATATGTGTTACCAACTTCATCCATAAAGTAATCTCTTTTAAAAAGAAGTGTGGGGTGCCTAGGGGTGAAATATGCTCATGGCACCATTGGTTCTTATTCACATAGTTCTGTGGAAAATGCTCATTGTGTCATGTATAAGTGTACAGAAATACAAACATACACACAGGCATACTTTTTATCTCTGGAAGGCAGTTAGGTATTTTAATTCAGTCAGTGATTGCAACACTGCTGGATTCTGGTTCCGTACCTCTAGAGTCACATTGCAAGATACAGATGGGGGCTTCTGTGCTTTGCTAATCACTGGGGTTTTTTTTTTTTTCTTAGGGTAATAAATGCAGGGAAGAGCACGCACAATGAAGATCAAGCCAGCTGTGAAGTCCTCTTTGTCAAGAAGAAAGCTGGAGGAAGTAATTCTACACCAAACAAGAACTCCTCAACAAAACGGAGGTCATCGCTGCCCAATGGAGAAGGTCTCCAGCTGAAAGACAATTCAGTAAGTAAATTTCTGTATCTTGTCAGTGGAGAAATTCAAAATAATATAAAAGGGTGTAAGAATATGGCAGTAAAAGGTGCTTTCCGAATATTTAGTATGTTTTCAGTTACCTCTTACTGATTATCTCTGCTTAAATGCAGAACATTTCACTATATTTTTCTTAGCTCTACTACGTAAATTTTTTGTATTGAAAAATGCTCCTTGCATCTAAGATATTTTAGTTTAAAGATGGGCAAGAGGATGCTCCTGGATTTTTCTTTTTGTTTCATTTCTGAAATGTTGAGAAATTTGAAGATGAGAAAAGGGCTGGAGCACATCCTCTGTGAAGACAGGCTGTGAGTTGGGGCTGTTTGGCCTGAAGGGAGGCCTCCAGAGAGTCCTTAGTCTGGCCATCCACTACTAAAGGGAAGAGGAGAGGGGCTTTCTCCTTAAGGACCTGTAGTGACAGGAGAAGGAGTAAGGACTTGAGACTAATAGAGGGTTTAGATTAGATATTAGGCAGAAATTCTTCACTGTGAGGGTGGTGAGGCACTGGAACAGGTTGCCCAGAGATGTTTGGCCAGGTTGGATGAGACTTTGAGCAGCCTGGTCTAGTGGAAGGTGTTCCTGCCCATGACAGAGGGGTTGGAACCAGATCATCTTTAAGGTCTCTTTCATCCTAAATCATTCTGTGGTTCTGTAATTTACACAGATGCCCAAGGTGCCACAAAAACACAGGTCAACCTCCATCTGCTATTTCTAAGTTTCTGTACCGTGTTGTGTAGGCACATTTTCACTACATGGAGCTCTGTGGACACTGCATTGGCAGCTTTTTTCACTGTGCCTACACAGGGGTCAGATCAAGAACTACACGAACCATATATGCTGTTGAGATGTGTCTTATATCAAAGCCACTAAACCACATCTTCAGCCAATGTTGGAAAGATACTGCATTCTGTAATTTAAACAACTACTAAAGCAGGATATTCTTCTGGTTTGTGCAGGTAGGGTAAGGTCATCCAGCACATGGAGTTCAGTGATTTTTTGCAGACTATAGCTTCCCTCATTTGTCTGAAGTGTGGTGTATGTCATACACTTGCCTACTAGTAGACAAGTGTCTACTGGTAGACAAATTGTCTGCTATTTTTCATCTGTCATGTTTCCTGACTGGCTAATTACTTCACCTGCTCTTTAAGCATTAGCTCAGCCTCCAGCAGTGATTGATAGTGTGTGTTCAATTCCAGCATTTCACCATGTAATACTAAATGCCCTGTCTGAATGTTTGAGTCAGACAATGTGGATTGGCTGCATTCATGCTGCTGGAGAACACAGGTTGTCCCTTAGTGATAATTAGTTTTTCAACGGGCTGTAAACCTTTTTTGGTAGTTTGGAGGTTTTTTGTTTTGGTTTTGGGGCTTGGTTTGTTTATATGTTTTGGAGGTTTTTTGTTTGGTTTTGGGTTTTTTGTTAGCTGGTGTGTGTATGTCTATTTTAAATCAGGTGGTGATTAGCAGTCTACTGTAGTCTCTCTCCCAGAATTTCATGGCTTGGTGCAACTGATGGCTGTGGGGTTCACTGGGTCCTGAGAAACAAGCATTCTTCTTGTACTGTGTCCCTCCCAACCTCTTTCTCCTCCAGTTCTGTTTCATACTTCGTTATTGCTGCAGCATTTTCAAAGTGACAGATCCTGAGGGTTTGCAAATTGCCCTGTTCTTTCCTCTTTAAAAATCTTTCTTTAAAGATTTTTTAAAGAGTGTTTCAATTCCTGTATGCTGATATTCCTCACTGTATTCAGACAATCATGATTTCTTTTTTCAAGTACATTTTTGCAAACTTCTGGATAAAGAATTAAGCCCAGAACTTACTGGGACAAGGAGTTCTACATACAGTCATGCAAAGCAAAGCAGAATTTGTTTTAATTAGCTGTGTATTTAAAAGTCTTTCCTAGAAAGTCCATGCAACTGCTTGCTGTTGGTTCAGGAAGGTGCTTGGTTTCAGGAGTGTATTTAATTCTTGTATGCATTAATTATGTTTAATGAAGCAAGCATTTTGCCATAGTACTTATTTGTGTATAGAAAACACAACAAGACGGCTGCCGTGTCCTTGGTCCAGGTGATGGGTTTGTTTGACACCAAGGCAAACTGCAAAGACCCCGTGCTCACACCAGCCTGGGTACGCACATCTTGATGCTGTGCAGAGATACGAGATTTGGTCTCATATCACATTAAAGTTCCACGCCTACCATGTGAGATACATGCTCAGGGACCTTTGTGTCTGGGATGTGGGTGAATGTAACTGTGCTGAGTTTGCTTGTTTTTGCCTATTTTACGGGCTCGCACAGGACATAAAAATCTTAGTAGCATTGTTTCACAAAGCCCAATTAACTTCTAGTGTCAAAAGCTTCTCAAGAGCAAAAGCCATGGCTAATTATCTTCTTCAGAAGGAACTTTTTCCCCAAGCATGATACAGTTAATAAGATTAGATTGCATTAATAATACAGGGTCTATAATAGTTTTGTTATTGGAAAGGCATCTTAACTAACCTTGATGTTATCCATTGTTATAGTTGATGTACTGTTGTGGTAATGTTATGGTAGGGTCAATAAACTGCATGTTTTTAAAAGCCGTTCTTTTTATCCATTTGATATTTCATGATTTGTATTGATTCAAAATTCGTATGATATTTCATTTCATGGTCAGTAAATATCTCCTCAGTAAATATCTACTTACACAGAGCTTATGAGAAGTATCTTACAGAATGTTCTGATTTTTCTTTCTCTTTTCACTATTTCCTAGTTTGATTCTGTGTCTTTCATCTTGATTTTGGAAGAAACAGCCACTCCCTTTCAAGTTTCTTGAGAAAAACACTTTTGTTTCAAATCTTCTGTTCTTGGTTCTATTTCTGACATGTTTTGACAAGAAGGGAACATAACATCTAAATTCAGGAGCCAGCTGATCCATATAATAGATTATACTGTTTTCTAGTTACTTCTTATCTTGTTCTTTATATGTTCTCTTCTTATCTATGGATTTACTTCTGTTTTCTACAGGGCATTGATATAGGTGCTGTCACACTCACTATTTAGTTGTGGAAAACCTATTCTACCATGTTATTAGACGACAGCTTATGTATTTAAATTTGTAATACATTTTCCCAAAACAGGCAGCACATTCCTGGAGAACATTTTCTACTAGAGGGCAGTCTTACACTAGCACTTAGTAGGACTTTTTTCCTTGGTACATCTTTTGTTGGTTGAATATATCTAAAAAGGGAGAGGAAAAAAGCACATTTCTATGTTGTGTCATTTTTTTTTCATATTTTTATACTGTGAGTTATAATACCCCTCACAAATCACTGTTGGCAAATATTTTTAAGGAGTATATGAGTAAATGTGATAAGCGTGCAACTTAATTTGTATGAATAAATAAGTGCTACAGTGAATGAAAGAATATCATCCCAGGAAATATTTAGTAAGAAGGCTAGAGGCTAAATAGTGTAAATGCCTCATAGAGAAATCCCATTGTAACACACAATCTGAAGTTCTCTCTATGTTGTGAAGCACCTTGCAGAAATACTGAAGAAAAAGGAATGAGGGAAGAAGTTGATTGAAAGGATTTTTTTAAGTGTGGAGCACAAGGGAAATAGGCACTGAAATGTAAACTTTATGTAACAGAATCCTTTTCAGCATTCTCAGATTTTTCTTTTTTTCCACAGACTCTTTGAGAATGGCACATGCCATCTTTGTTTTCTCCTGCTTTTTTGGGAAGTTTGTGAAACATCAGCTACATCTGAGACTGTGTGATTGTTGTTTAATGCTAACCCAATCAATCCAGCCCTGTGCTTTGACAAAGCAGCATATGGGAGTTAGAGATCCATGTGTTGTCCGCACAAGTTGAATGCCACTCTCATGGTCTTGACTTTCCACATGGATTTCCAGGGGTGGAAAGGAGGCATGGGTAGGTCAGAAATGGAGAAATGGAGAAATGGACATTTCTTTAAGCCAAACACAGAAACAAATTCTGGGAAGTCAATTAAATAGCATAAAAATGGTTTTCTTCTTGAAAAGGTGGGTAATAAAATGAGCAGAGCAGTGAAAGGAAAGACTCTTTAAATTCAACCCTAAGTTAATTCTCTCCCCTTCCCCCCAGTCCCACTCCATTGCTGCTTAATTGTATCTCCTGTCTGTCCCCATTCAAGAACATTCCTGTTAAATTGCACATCTTTTTAATTTGTACTATTTTAAATGCCTTTAGCTACAGAGTACCTTCATGATGAATGCTGAAAACCGCCAGCAAGCGAAATGGAAATCATGTGCCAGGATATTGTCATAGTGACCATCAGGCTGCAGGACTTAATGTGATGCATTATTAATTGTCATTGTAATGTGAGGATACATAATTACTAATTCTGCAGTCTTCTTTGCCACAAATCTGGATGTTGTATGTTTTGTGTGGCAAAAGGCTGGTAGCCTACCACAGGCAGCTGAACATATTGATAACATGAGGAGACTTTTCTCTGAAGATTGGGGTGGCAATTGCTGATCCTGTTCAGATTTTATGAACTCAAGTTGCTCTCTTAAGTGTTTTGTGACTGTAGTTCATATCTGGAATAATAATAGTCAGGGAAGGTTATAGTTCCCAGAATAAATCTTTAGTGACAACATGATTTATTTGCCTGTTTGGAATTAGCTCCATAACAGTCTGAGGGTTTGCAATGTAAGACTGCTGTCTAGCTTACCTGAAAAGTGTGTCCCAAAATGATCACTAGGTATTGCTAAGGTTTCCTCCCCTCTTTTTTTTTCTTCATATCATTGAGCTCAAATTATGCATGTATATATATGCAATTTCTCTCATGATTTCTCATCCATTGCTTGACCCATGCATGTCTTAATTATATTTTACAATTGCAAAACCCAGGAGACTGCTGAACCTTCCTGAAAGCTAGGTCAGCAGTTGAGAAGCCTGAAGCTTATTAAATTTCCTAGTACATTCTGTACTAGGAAATTAATTGTAAGGTCGATGCAGTGAAGGGTTTGTTTTCTCTTCATGTTTCTGGTAGTTATTCAGTCTGTTAGTT